GTGTCGTAGCTGCACATCCTTCTAGTTGCTGTATGTGGGACTCGGCCTCAGGATGGACGGAGAAGTGGTGCCTCGATGCGCACCCGGGGCGCACCCGGGATCCGAACCCGGGCCGCCAGCATCGCAGCGCGTGCACTTAACCACCAAGCCACAGGGCCGGCCCTTAAAAGAAGTCATTTAAAAACATTTGTAAAATAGCTCCAGTCACAAGGTCTACGAAGGGGGAAAAATGCCCCAGATTAACACGAATTCACATAGCCATATACTTGCCTAAATGATTATGGAAATTTTCATAACTATATAGAATCGAAGGTGGGAATTACTGCTATAGAAACAATTCATTTTATTTGGATATTTTTTAAAAAGCAATATTACTTGGATTCATTCTAGCTAACCCTAGACACTGTGTCCCTCTTCTGCAAATATAGCTACAGTAGATGTGTGATCTGAGAAGTGAGCATGGGAATGGCCTACAATGCTTCAATCATCCTTAAGTTGAGTGACATTTCATTTTCAGCTCTACGTTAAGAGATAATTTAGCTAAGTGTTTTCACTAAATATACAATTCTGTAGTGGACTGTGCTACAGGATTGTGATCCAAAACCTTTTTAATTTTGCCATAAACCTTTTTAATTTCAGTCCCCAGGCCTGAGATTCACTTCCTTACCTATCCAATGAGGACAACAGTACCCACTTCTAAGGGGTTGTGATGATTCATTATTCCTGCAGCAAATATTTTATGAAGTGTCTATTACATCCTGGGCATTGTTCCAGACACTTAAGATGAAGCAGTGAACACAATCCTTGCTCTCAGAATCCACGTGCCAGTTTGGGAAAAGCAATACATAGATGCCGATATACTAATGGCAAATATTGGTAAAAAGTGCTATGAAGGAGAATAAGCCAAGGAGGGTGAACAGAGTGCTGGTGAAGCCTGAGAGTTTTGAGTTAGTGTTCAGAGAAGGCACAGACCTGAAGTGGGGAGGCAGTGAGCCACGTGGATATGTGGCCACAGCATGGGCAGAGAATTCCAAGCAGCAGGAATGGAAGTGCAGAGACTGGGAGGAGGGGTGTGGGGGGACGTGTGCAAGCATGGGAGGCAGTGACACTGGAGCAAGGTGAGCATGGGAGAGGCTGGTGGCTGAGACCAGAGCAAGGGCTGGAGGCCATGTAAGGTACAGCCTGTGGGCCTTTACATAAGCTTTTGGTTTTATTTTCAGTGAGATGGGGAGTCAATGAAGTGTTTTGAGCAAACAAGTGACAGGATTGGACCTAGGTTTTTAAAAAGACCTTTGTGGCCGCTGCGTTAAGTAGAGGTGAGGCAAAGGAGAAGGCAGGAGACCACTTAGGCTATTAAAATAATCCAAGTGAGAGATGATGGCATCTTGGCCCAGTGTGTGGATGGTGGAGATGGTAAGAAGTGCTTGGATCCCGGTGATTGATTTTTAAATGAGAGCTGACAAAGCTTGGTGATAGATGCTGTGGCATAAGAAGGGAGGAATCAAGGGTGACCCCAGGGTTTTGGCCTGAGGAACTCCAAGGGTGGAGTTGCCACTCCTCACGTGGGGAAAGTTGTGGATGGAGCTGGGGGTGGGAGAAGAGTTGGGAGCTCAGCTTTGAACACAATATGGTTAGGTGCCTGTAAGATATCAGAGTAGATGAGTAGACCATTGGATAGAGGAGCCCAGGGTTCAAGGAAGAGGTGTGGACTATAGAGATACAAATGTGAGTGTCCCCAGTGACAGGTGGTATTTAAAGCCTGGATAAGACCACTCAGAAAGTGAGTGTAGACTACGAGTTGAGGACTGTATAGGCAGGGCCTAGTGCCAGCAAGCAAGACTCAATACTCTTTACATTTCTCTCTTCTCTCCAGCCCTCCCTTCCTTGCTTTTTTGTTTCTCTATTAAAAAGGATTTTGGGGGCCAGCCCCTTAGAGTAGCAGTTAAGTTCACACACCCTGCTTCCACAGCCCGGGGTTTGCTGGTCTGGATCCTGGGTGCAGACCTCGGCACCACTCATCAAGCCATGCTGAGGCAGCGTCCCATGTGGACGAGCTACAACTCTACAACTATGCTACACAACTATGCACTGGGGCTTTAGGGAGAAAAAAGAAAAAGAGGAAGATTGGCGACAGATGTTAGCCCAGGGACAATCTTCCAAAAAAAAGAGGATTTTGTGAGTGATAGGGTCAAAATTTTTTTACACTTTAGTTCCTGGATTCCCAATCTCTGGTATGTACTACTACAACGCTTTATAAAGAATTCACCATTTAAATTCCACAAGTGTAGTTGGAGATATCCACACAAATATGAACACTGGTTGTGATATCTGGTATACAATCAATGAAATTCTTCTGCCATTTCGAAGTATCATCACTGTGGGAGATCAAAATTGGCCACCCTGAAATATATCTCTTTACCTTGATTATTTTCTCTGATGGACATTTGACCTCCCCCAAACTGCCTAAAGGAATTTAACTCTGGGTGTAGACCGACTGGCAGGGTTCTTGCTAAACCCATTCTTAACAAAGCTCTGTTTACCAAATATTTACATTTGTAACGGTATCTCCCTCTGTATAGTGGGAAGAGGGGGGATGACTTTATCTGTGAAAACTCTTATCAGGACAGAAGACAACGACTTAAATCTACATACTCAATTACTATAATTCCTGTCTCTCCGGCCACATTCTTTATAGGTGGCCCTGGAAAGCATTGTCTGACAACACTTACATTTCCCTGTCCATGTAAATTGTCTTATTGCCCTCTGAAATCCCAAAACACCACCCGCCCCAACATCCTCCTTTGTCTTTAGCTGAAGATGGTATTTAAGATGAGAATCTCTGCCACTGTGTTGAGAAATTCAGTTTCCCTGGTTTCTCCCATGTATACATGTTATTAAACTTGGTATTATTTTCTCCTGCTAACCTGTCTTGTTAATTATTTGGCCAGCCAGAAGAACCTTAAGGGAAAGGGTGGAGGGGGATTCTCCATCTTCCCCAACAACACAAAGCTAATACAAGGAGCTATTGAATTTCTAAAGGCATTTCTAATTGATCTTAAGTTATCACTGGCCAATAGTTTTCAACTGATATAATTGTTGAAATTACAAAAGTTACTTTCCAATAAGTAAGCAAAATCTCTTGGTGGCAGATGGTTTGTAAAAAATAATGGCCAAAGCTATAAAACTAAACGTGAAACTGCTCTTTTATCTTTTCTGTTTGTAGGATGGGTTTAATTAGTTCTTCATTTGGGCTTCACAAGCGGAAATTTATCTTTGAAATGGATTGTCCCCCTTCTGCTAGTTCTAATTGTTTTACAAAAATCTAAAACCTAATACAGGTTTTTAAAAAGTAATAGCTGTTTTCACATGTCGTCCCAAAAGCTAAAAATAAGTATCTATACATTTGTGTTTCAACAAACCAAAAAGTACCTGAAAATGCATTTTTTTAAGTAAAGTCCTTGTGGGAAAACAGTTATAAGTCATTAGAACTGTGATTTGTTACCTTTTTCTCTTTGTCCTATAAACCTTTGTAAGAACATTTCCAGGGGTTTACCCAGATTGGGTTTTGAGTGTTGCGTGGGGGTCAGAAAGCCTGGTGTGGAAGCGGAGGGAGCCAGCTTTCCGCGGGGTTCTGGCTCGCTGGGCGCCCGTTTCTGGCAGGCATTTCCCACCCCCGCTTCGGGCCCCTCAGCACGCCGACAGAGGCGGCCCCCGCCAGGCGATGACGCTCCCTGCGACTAAGTCCGCCCTTCTCCAAGATGCCGGTCGCGCCAGGGATGCTGGGTGCGCTTCCGCAGCACCGGGAGGAGGCGGGGCTGGCGGCAGCGCGGCGCTGATTGGCCGGTGCGGCCGAGGCCCCGGCGCCAGTCCGTAGCCGGCGCCGCGACCTGGGCTGGGATGTGAGGGGCGGTGGGCGCCGGGTGGCGGCAGCTCCTCTGGGCGGCGGCGGCGACTGCGGCGAGGCCGGGCGGGCGAGGCCTGCGGGCGCCGTAGGCGGCCGGCCGTGTAGGCCGCGGGATGAGGAAGCGGCTCGAGCCCGTCGCCCTGGAGCATGAGCGCTGCGCCGCTTCGGGCTCGTCCTCCTCCGGCTCGGCCGCCGCGGCGCTGGACGCCGACTGCCGCCTGAAGCAGAACCTGCGCCTGGCGGGCAAGGGGCCGGCCGAGCCGCGCTGCGCCGCCGACGCGGGCATGAAGCGGGCGCTGGGCAGGTAGGCGCGGCGCAGGGCGGGGCCCCTACCTAGCCCGCAGGTGCGGCCCGTGCGCGCCCCGGAGCCCCCACCCCGTCAGTTCCCCGCCGCAGGAGTGCCCCTACCTACCTTCCAGCCCCTCACCGTCCTCTTCCGGCCTTCGCGGACGCTCTCCCTTCCTCTGGCCCGCCAGTGCGGCCTGGGGGCAGCCCCCGACCCCCCATCCCGCCCCTCGGTACCTGCCCGCGCCGCACTCCCCAGGTGTTCCTCCGCTCCCCACCCGCCCCTCAGCGCCTGGGATCCGGCCCCCGCCCCTGCCTTCCCCCGGGTGAGCCAGTGGGGACGCTTTCAGCGACGGGCTGGACGAACGTCTCTCCCGGGGGTTTGGAGCGGCGGGGAAAGGACGACCCCGCTTGGGGGTGTCGGGGAGGCCCCTGGACGCCCGGCGCGGCACGGAATATGTGGGAGGCGGAGGGGCCGGCGCCAGACCTTGGGTGCTCTGGGGTCAGCTCGGATCTCCTCCTTTGCGGGGGACTCGCGAGGAGGCTCACCGGTACCTTTTTCTCACTTCGGTAATTCTTGGTCTCGGATAACTAGTTGTCAGAAGTGGCATTGGCGGGGGAGTCCCTGTGGTGTAGCAGTTAAGTTCCTGCGCTCTGCTTTGGCGGCCTGGGGTTCCTGGGTTCAGATCCTGGGCGCGGACCTACACACCGCTCGTCAAGCCACGCTGTGTCGTCCCACATACAAAGTAGAGGAAGATTGGCACAGATGTTAGTTCAGGGCCAGTCTTCCTCACCAAAAACAAAAAACACAAAGAAGTGGCATTCTCTGCTCAGAACTGCCCGGCCTTTGGGGGAAGGTTAAGTGGTCTGCAGTGACAAGGGAAAGGAAGAAGTCACCACATCCTCAGCTGCTGGAGGAAAACCTGTCGTTCGCTTTGCGGGTGGCTGGTGGTGCTTGAAATTTGTCCACAGGAGATGTCTCCTTGGGAATCTCCGTAAAGTCCGGAAGTCATCTGGTTGTTTGCGTTCTCCTTTTGGGTAGGAGATGAATGCGTTTATGTAAAGCTGACTTCAACCTTGAGACAGGAGCATATTTAATAGGGACAAATCGTCCTCCTCATATGCTGGTTTCTTTATCCGGCTATTTGTGGAACATCATTCATGGCAATTTTGAAGTCTTAGTGTTTCAAGGTGTTTGAAGAACTTAGCGTGTAATGTTCTCAGGTATTGTGGCAGAGTCATTTCTTTTGGAGTCACCTGGAATGCCCTTAATTGACACTGGCCACTTAAGTGTAGAATATTTATCCAAGTAGCTCCTTCAAAATTTCAACTTCATGGCTTAAAAGATCATGAAGTTAAACTGTAGACTCCTCTAAGTCAGTGGTTTCCAGTCCTGCCAGAGGGGCAGGGACTAACAATATTTTTGTTTTGTGTATAATTATCTAGCAACTGGTCAATGTCTTTTGTGAAATGAATCTGTTCTCTCTTCTGTGGAAAAGTTTGTGTTAAAAACTCATGATTGGCTTTAATGCACTTTTATTAACAGGCTTTGTGTAACATTTAGATAAATTGGGAAATTCTTCCTTTGAAGAAATCAAGTTGTGATGCACAGTAGTGTTTGGGGAAGCAATGCTGGCGTGACACCTTCCTTGAAAATGTACTGTAATAAAAGGATCTGATTAATTTTTATTTTTGTATCAGGGGACAAAGAGAGACATTCAAGTGGTGCTTATATATCCTTTGGACAAACAAAAAGTTGTTAGGGGAATAAAAAGAAAAGCAGAGAGCGGAAAGGCCAAATCTGTGTGTGACCCAGTGGCTTCCTTCCCCGTTGCCTGGAATGCTCCCCTGGACATTCTCCTACTTTGTTCTTTCCTTCCGCCAGGTCTCTGCTCAACTGTCACCCACCTCAGAGAAACCTTCCTAGCCCAGCCCATCCAGAATAGTCTTTGAGCCATTTGCAACCCCCTTAATTCTGTTTACTTGTTTCCTCATCACACTTATCCCTCACCTGACCTTGTAATTGCCTCCGTACTTGACTTGCTTTATGGGTTGTCTCCTCCCTAGCAAGAATGGAAGCCCCATAAGAGCAGGATCATTGTTTTCTCCACCTCTCTATCTCCAGTGTCTGACACATTGTAGGTAGGAGAAAATACTTGTTGAATGACTGTCTAGAATAAATTCCAAAAGTGGAATTGCTGGGCCAGCGGTTGTGTGTGTATGACTGTGAAAGGTATAGCCTTGAGTGTCCTCCAATTGGTGTTGATTCCTCCTCCCTCCAGCAGGGTCAGGTGCCTCCCTGCCCAATGCTGAGTATTACCAGATATTTTGATCTTTTTCTATTTGATTGCTGAAAATGACATCTGATTTGTAGTTTTAATTTGCATTTCTTAATTGTTAGGTGGCAATTTTCGTGTCTTTTTGTAAGTCTATTATATACATTTGGGATTATTTAAGTCTTTCATGACCCTCCTTTGGGTTCTCCTGCACATTTCTTATAACTTTCTATTATGTACATTTTCAAATATGCAAAAGTGGAGAAAACAATGTAATGAACGTCCATGTATCCATCACTTCATTTCAACAGTTTTCCATGTTTTGCCAATCTTGAATCACCTATTCCTTCTCCCGTTTTTTGTAGGGTGGGAGACTAGAATATGTTAAAACAAATGGTTTTATCCATAAATACTTCACAATATATGTTGAACAAATGAGGACTTTTTGAAATACATATACTTTCAATGCTATTACCATATTTATCAAAATTAACAAATTATCTATTATTAATTTAATATTATCTAATATCCAGTGTATATACACATTTCCCCAGTTTCTTAGAAATGTGTTTTTTAAGTTGGTTTGTTTTAAAATCCTGTACAGGGCCGGCCCCGTGGCTTAGCGGTTAAGTGCGTGCGCTCTGCTGCTGGCAGCCCGGGTTCGGATCCCGGGTGTGCACCGACGCACCACTTCTCCGGCCATGATGAGGCTGCGTCCCACATACGCAACTAGAAGGATGTGCAACTATGACATACAACTACCTACTGGGGCTTTGGGGGAAAAAAAATAAATAAATAAAATAAAAAAATAAAAAAAATCCTGTACATTTCTTAAGTTTATTCCTAGCTATTTAATCTTTGTTGTTGTTACTGAAAATAGGATCCTTTCATATATTGTATATTCTCATTGTTGTGTTTATTAATTTTATAACTGGCAGCTTATGTAATCTTACTGTTTTTAGTAGTTTTTGCAATTGGTTCTCTTGGGTTTTCTAGGTATACTATCATGTCAGCTGCAAATAATTTTGTCCCTTGTTTTCTACTTTTTATGTTTCTTTCTCTTTTTTGATTGCATTGTATTTCCAGAACAAGGGTAAATAATAAAGGTGATACTGGGTGCCCTTGTCTCGTTCCTGATTTTAACGAGAATGCTTTTGGTGTTTTTGCCACAGTAGTTATTTTACTAAGGGGTATGTTGCTGCTGTTTTTTTTTTTTTTTTAAATCAAAAATAGTTGTTAAATTTTATCAAATGTCGTTTTAGCATCTGTGAAATGATCATATAGATTTTCCTCCCTTGACCTGTTAATATGCTGAGTTGTAGTAATAGGTTTTATATTATTGAATCATTTTATATTGCTGAGTCATCATTATTGAATCATTAATAACTCTGTTAGCATATAGCCAGATTTGATTTATTAATATTTTGCTTCGTAATTTTACACCAGTATTTGTGAGACTGGTCTGACATTTTCTTTTTCTTTCTTTTTTTCTTGGTGAGGAAGATTGGCCCTGAGCTAAAATCTGTTGCCAATCTTCCTCTGTTTACTTGAGGAAGATTATCCCTGAGCTAGCATCTGTGCCAGTCTTCCTCTATTTTATATGTGGGATGCCGCCACAGCACGGCTTGATGAGTGGTGTGTAAATCTGCGCCCAGGATCCAAACCTGTGAACCCTGGGCCACTGAAGCGGAGTACACAAACTTAACCACTATGCCACTGGGCCGGCCCCTGTAATTTTCTTTTTTAATGCAATCTGTATCAAGTTGTTTTAGTGTTTTCTATAGCTTTATTAAAAGCTTACTCTTTCTCTGCTTTAGCCAGTTCAAATACTTTTGAAATGATCGGTTTCTTTAAATTTTGGTAGGCTTCCCCCATTAAACTACCTAAGCCTGGTGCTTTATTAGAATATAGCACTTCCGTAACTATTACAGTTTCTTAAGTTTCCTGTCTCCTTCTGGGTTCAGTTTTGGTGATTTATATGTTCATAGAAAATCATCTGTTTCATCCAGCTTTTTCTTCTGTATGTGGAGCTGTTTCCCTGGTCTTGTCGCCTATTTTATGTACTTACGCTTTTTCCCCCTTTTTTCTTGATTTAGGCTAGCTAATTGTATATCTAATATACACACATACACTGAAGTGGATTTTTTTCAAAGAAAAAAAATTTCTTCCCTGAAGAAAATATTTTTTTGTTTATTAATTCTGGGAGACCAGGATGATGCTGAGGGCTGTGGAGAAGTGGAGAGAACATGTTCTATCTGAAGGAGGCAGCATTTCCTGCACCCCATCCTGTTGCTGCATGGCAGGAATGCAGCCCCAGGGTGGCCAGATCGTCCAGTCTTTCCAGAGTAGCTGGGTGTGTGTATGTGTGTGTGTGTGTGATCTCCAACATTTTAAACATTGGTAACTAATTCAGATGAAAACAATAACTTTGGAGGTAAAAACAACAACACCACCAGCAGTTTTTTGTTTTGTTTTTTAAAGTTCTGGACTCAAGTGTCATTTTTCAAGATAAATGTTTATCTAACTCATACGTTGACCCTGTACTCCGTGAGAGGAGGAACTAGATACTAGTTTTGCTTTGCACAGTGTCTGGTACAAGGAGATGCTTGGCAACTGAGGGATTTTGTGGGCCTTTTGTGTTCTTTTCAGTAACACTGGAGTTCTTGGGAATATTCATTAAAGGCAAAAGTGTTCTAATTTGGACCCTAAGAAGTCAGTAATGAGATGTATGGTTCAGTGTGTC